GCAGGATTTTTAGATGTGTGTGAAACAAGTTGGTTCACCAGACGAGACATTTGTAGTAAGGGATAATGACAAATGATAGTGTTGGGCTAGTAGTACCTAAGAAAGAGTTGGTTTAGTAAGATCATATAGTTTTATAATAGGTTGAGTGCATACTAGTAGAGATATAGATGCATCTTGAGATGAATATTTTTGAGAGATCATTTTAATTGGGGAAGTGAATACTTATTTTTTAATAGTAACATGTGCTTCAATGTTCTCTACATGAGAGTTATTTATCATAGTTTCAATTTTAGATAATGGAGATAAAGACAACATTATTGGTTCTCTTGGAAGTAGAAAACAACTTGGGAAAGACCTAAGAATGATGAGTGTACCAGATGGAGTCATTGATAACTCTAATTAATTACATGATAAATACTTAATATTTTATCATTTATTATTTAACTTTGTAGAAAAATTTTCAAGTTACTTTAATCTAGAAAAATAATATTAAAATTATTTACACAATTTTATAATTGATTTCCAAAAATTATATGTTGGAATTGACCATAAAATATTTTGATAGGTCTTAACAATGATTATTATTAATATCAAAATTCTTCCGAATTAATACATTTATTTCTAATTTTTTCTTTAATTTTCTTGAATTTTTATGAGCTTATTATGATAAATAATAATAAAATAAAAAATAAAAATAAGAGACTATTTTATTTTTTTAGGTTTTCCACATCAACGACGGATGTAATGAATAAAGCAAGAAATATTGCAGATGATTTGATGAAATTGATGAATTACTACACAAAAAGATGGAGAAATGTTGGGGAGGAAGAATGAAATATCTTCGATCAATCTATCATTCTCCACAATCACCTTTTCGATTGAAAAATACTAGGGGATGAATGCTAGATTTACCCAAATGATCTATTTGATACAAACAATAGAATTATTCTTGAATTTTTCTTAATTCAACTACTACAAAAATTGAACTTCATCCATGAACTTGTCTCATTCTTTTTCCAACTTACAAATGGTAGTGAATTTCTTGTGATAATCCTTCTTCGGATGCTGCAACATACGTGGAATTGAACTACTTCCATTGATCGATTCCAGCATGTAACAGTTGTTGGGATCATCATTCATTGACTAGAAATTATGTAAAAATCTAGTTGGTGCACCATGCATGCACAAATCAATCAAATTTGGGTGAAAAATTGATTAATGGCTGTTCCACCTATTATTTCATAAAACTCAAATCTTTGCATGATTTTTATCTTTTATTTATTTATAAAGAGTTCTATTTATTTTTAAATCATTTTTATAAACAAATTCACTTTTGAAATGAAAGATTGATTCGAAGTATTCTGACTTTAATTTTGACAAATATGAGTCAATGTATTTCTAGCAACCCAAATTTGGGAGTGTTCTTCACATGTTGATGTTTGATGATGTCATAATCCCTCATTTAGTATATTTTTAATTAATTTTCATAATTAAAAATCCTAAAAAAATCTATTAATTAAAAAAAATTCAAATATAACTAGCCCAGTTTTTATCTTCCTTTTGTTTGACCTAGAAAACCTCTATGAAATTAAATATTTCTAAATTAGCTTATTTTCAAGTATTTATAAATTTTAAATTTGCTGAATTTTTTTAACAATGACAGAATATACAGACAACCATCAATACTTGTGGATCATCTAATTGCCATACATGTGAAAACATAGATTCATCAAAAAGAACATGTTTAGAAATATGAAGACATCTAGTGAAAAGTGACAATGATAGCCGAGATGCATAGAACTGTAGCCAAGGAAGACAACATTCAAATCATTGTATAAGTTTGTGTGCTTCATAAGAATGATGGCTAGGATAGAAGAAACATTCAAAAGTGTGAAGAAAGAAATAATCTAGTTATTTCTTGAACTAGATGGATATTGATTTTGAGGATAGTGCATGTAGACAATTTATTAGGTAAACAGTGGTGGAAATGTCATTGATGCATTGTAGAGAAGAGCACGAGCAGCTTCCACAGTGTGGTGGTGTTTACATTTTGCTATGTCAGTTTGTTCAGGTGTATGGGGATATGATACACAAAGTTGAATACCACATTGTTTAAGATGGCAATGGAGCAATTGATATTTGCTACCCCAATCAATTTTTAGGGTGAGAATGTGAGAATCAAATTGACATTCAACATGATGCTAGAATTGAAATAATATGTCTAGGACTTTTACACTCATGTGGAAAGAGCTAGGTATATTTTCGGAAATTATCAACAAAAATGACATAATAAGACAAGCCACAATGAGATTATTTAAGAGCAAGGCCCCATAGATTAGAGTTGACTAATTGAAGAGATGCTTGTGTTGTAGATGAAGATCTTATAAATGGTAGCTTGTGAATTTTTCATAGAAAAAAGAATCACAATATATGGATGATGACGATGGGTAGTAGGTAAACCAAATTTATTGATGACATTATAAGATTTGAAAATTTGAGTGTCCTAGCCTAGCATGCCATATTGGAGGAGAGACTCATTTGCAAAGATATGTAATAAGTGCACCATTTGATGGAGGAAAATAATAGAGGTCATCTTTAAGATGTCCTTGTAGAAAATCTTTTCTTGAGATCCAGTCCTTCACAAGACAATGAGATGGGTGAAATTCAAAAAAGATATTATTATCTGATGTGAGTTTTCTAATTGAATGTAGATTACAACTGATCTTAGGGATGTGATATTATTTAACTTGAGAGAACATCAGGGTGAATAAAGGATTGAAGATCCCAGAGATGAAATGGGCAGACCTTCACCATTTTTGACATGTAGTTTATCAAAACATGTGTAGATTCCAAGGTCAATGAGTGTATTGTGGTCTGGTATGACGTGATGAGTAGCCCCATTACCATGATATCAGGATGTTGAGCTGCTTGTTGATGGTCCTCTAGACGATGTTGATGAAGTGCCACATGTAGTTGCATAGGCTACTAGCGCATTGAGAACATTTGCTGATTGGTTCTGCCAATTTTGTGGTTGATGTTATCCATTCATGAGACCTCATGAAAAATTCTTCTTGAAGCATTCTCCACATTTGGGGCCACAAAGTCCAAATTGAAGACAAATTTGACAATGTGGCATTTGTTGTCTACCATGACCACATCTATGTCTTCCACCATGTCCTCATCCTCTATTAGCATGTTGACTGTATTGAAAAAATTAGCTGGTGGATATTTACAAACACCTTCGGTGTAACGATATTGTGTCATGATTGTCTCATGTGTAGTTAGATGTACATCCTCTAGAGTTAATGACTCCATACGATTAGTCATATTTGTAATGAAAGCTTCATAGTTTGGTCCAAATCCTCTAAGGACTTGAATAAAAGATGTCTCATGTTGTGAAGCATGTAGCTTAGTATGCAGTTAAAAGATCGTAGATTCAGATTAAGAGGAGAATGTTTTAACTAGTACATCTTATACTTCCTTGAAAATGTTGTTGTCAGCTATTAATAGAAATACAGACTCCATAAGAGATGATGCAATCCATGAAAGAATGATTTAATCACTTCATTCCCATGTAATAAAATCTTGATTTGAGCATGAGACTCCCTTTTCAGGAATAATAATTGTTGAGCAACTTGGCTCTGATACCATGTGAAGAATAGAGATAGAAAGAGATATTAGGAAGATAGAGAAGAGGAGAATAGTATCGAGAGAGGAATGAAGTAAAGAAGGAGAATAGAGTGGAGAAATTAATGACCCTCTAGGCCTTTGATCCACTGACGCTTGTTGATAAAAGAGATTATGGGGCTCTCGTTTTATAGAGGCTTTGGAGGCCTCTAGGATTGTGAACAGATGCTAGTTGGGGAAGGTGCGGCGTCCGTTCTATAACGGTCAAGGAGAAACCACCCTTTCGTCTATCCCATGCTTACGACCTTCTCCTTTAGGCAACAGTTACGATGCACTGTTTCTAAAGGAGAAGGGGAATCGTTTACATGTAGACCTGACCCCAGCCGGAGAGCTCGGTGGCGGAGGTGACGGACCTGTAGTTCTTGAGGTCGTGCTCACCGCCGATGACCCGAAAGCTGAGGATGTGCCTCTTTCGTCCAGCATCTCCAGCCTATCGATGCTGGTGGAGGCCGGAAGGCCGGAGATGACGGCCAACTCCCGCACGCTGTCCACGCCGCCGTCGTCCTGCGTCACTGCGCAGCTCTTGATGAGGTGCTTGTGGCGCTCCGGCTGGTCGAATCTCCTCACGATGGACCACACCGCCCCCAGCGGCGCGTCGATGCGCTGGGTTATGAGGGAGGTGCAAGTCCCCGCCGGCTGGTCGGGCTCGTGATGGTGCGTGCGGATTAGAGTCTCTAGCACGGACAACTCTTCTTCGGACACCCCCCGCCGCAGGCTTTCCCCTTGTCGGGATCCATGCCCCCCCTTGCTGTAGAGAGAGCGAGAGAGAGAGAGAGAGAGAGGGGAAGGGGGGGGGGGCTTCTGTGCATGGTTCCGTTGGTTGCGGCAGAAGATACCCGTTGGTTGCTGTAGGGGGAGAGGGGCTTCTTGTGTGCACAGTTGCAAGTAATACGCTTTCATTATAATTTTGTATTAATACTCAAATTCGTTTGATTGCCGTACAACTGAGCGTCAGTGGTACGCTCAACGTCTGTTTTCCCTGCTCTTCACTCACTCACTCATGAGCGAGCGAGCAAGAGAGAGAGAGAGAGGGAAGACCAGTGCGCTAACTATCTGTTTTCCAAGTTCTTTAGTCACGAGCGAGAGAGAATGTGTGGGAGAGAGAGAGAGAGGGAAGACCAGTGCGCTAACCGTTTGGTTTCCCAGTTCTTTATTCACGAGAGAGAGAGAGAGAGAGAGAGAGAGAGAGAGAGAGAGAGAGAGAAAGAAGACCGGTGCATTGACAATTGAGCTGCTAGTTAGTGAGAATCGACCGATTAGGACCCCTCTTCAGTGCGTTGACAATCTCTTCCTCTCCCGGCCGTCCCCGCCTTCTACCCGGTGAAGAGGTTCTGAGAGGAGTTGCTCCTTCTCCAACTGGACCAGTACTCCGCCACCAGCTTCGAGAATGCGGAGCCGCTCTCCGCCATAAGTCTGGAGGGCACGTCGTACTCTACGATGCTTCCTGCAAGATCAGGAACCGACACCGGGCAACGATGAGGATTCTCTGGATCAGTTCTTCTTCCCGTGTGGGGGAGAGGAAGCGGCGTACCGAAAGAGAGCACCAAGATCATGTCGCTTTCGACGACGGTGGGGACTCGGTGCGCCACCGTAATGACGGTGCACCGGCCGAACTCCTGCTTGATGATCCTCTGCAGCGTCGCGTCGGTGGCGGAGTCGATCGACGCCGTGGCTTCGTCCAGGACGAGGATCCGGTTCCGCCGGAGGAGGACCCGCCCGAGGCAGAACAGCTGGCGCTGCCCGGCGCTCCAGTTGTCCCCCTCGTCGCTCACTTTACGGCAACCAAGGAAAGAATGGAACATTAGACCTGAGGTGTGTAGAGGTTTTAGGGTTTAGGTTTTATGGAGAACCTGAGGAGTCCAGGAGGTCTGGAAGGCTGGCGATCGTCTTCTTGAGCTGGCATTTCTCCAATGCCTGAACAGCAACATACGTTGCAATTAAAGGAATGTTAGACGCGAGCGGAGTAGAATGTTAGATCGAGGTATCACCTCCCAGATCTCGTGATCAGTGTGAAGACCGAGAGGATCGAGGTTGCTACGGACGCTGCCGCGGAAGAGACTCGGCTCCTGCGGGATGATGCTGAGGTGCATCCTCAGGTCCTTCAAGCCGATCGAGCAGATGTCCAGACCGTCGACGAGTATCCTCCCGCCGGCGGGATCCACCACGCGGAACAGTGCGCTTATCAGTGTCGTCTTCCCGCTGCCTGTTCTCCCGACGACTCCCACCTTGTGGCCGGCGGCGAAGGTGCACGTTATCCCCTTGAGGACCAGAGGCGCGTTCGGGCGGTACTTGATCTATAACCCTCAAATCATCACCACAGATGGTGTGAGAATTTTGGAAATATCTTGAATGAAGGATTTTTTTGGTATCCTCTCTACCTTGAGATCTTCCAGATCGATTCTCCCTTCTGCCGGCCATTGCGGCGGCGGCCTGCGAGCTTCGATTGTGGCGGGGGGCTCCGATGGAATCTGCATGAACTGCTTGATCCGTTCCACAGAGATAATGTAATTGTCCAAGCTGGAGTACCAACGAGTTAAGAACCCTTGGCAGGCCCTCAGATTTAGGGCGTACGTCAAGGTGAGGCCCACGAACCCTAACAGCACCATTCACCAGCGTGGAATTCAGCGAGAAGGTCACGACTATACAGCTGATGATAGTCGCAGATTTAACATATCAGTTCGTTGCTCTGCAATACTCACCCGGTGATACGCTCTCCTTCGGAAGCAGCAGGAGGAAGACGGCTGCGGCTACGACGGTGATGTTCTGGAGAGATTCCACTCGCAAGAGCAGCCACTCCATGGCGGCGATGGAGTGGAAGAACTGCGACGCGTCGGTGTTGATCAGCTCCATGTTCCTCCGGACGGACCTCTCCCCGCCGGAGAACGCTCTGATCGTAACGGCACCGAGGGAGGTCTCCGCCGCGTGGTTCGTGAGGGGAGCCTTCGTCGTCCCGTTGATCCTCACAATCTCTCTCGCAGAGGACAGATAGTACCTCTTCAGTTCCGAGCAGAAGACAGACGATACCTCACAATCAGATGATGTCCGCTATTTCTAGAGTGTCCGCAACAATAAGTCGCGCGGTATAGAGAGAAGGCGAAGGCGCACCTGATAATACCTCACGGCAATGGTTACCGGAACAGCCACAATCAAGATCTGCCATGTGACTACCGCCATTACCAGCACCGTCGCCATCACTTCCAGTATACCCGACAGGGAGAAGCAGAGGGCATAGGGGATGTCGTAATCCAAGATGCTCATGTCTGAGGAGGCCTGCAATACGTCAGTTGAGAGTTAGAAGGAGCTATTAAAGGTAACTAGCTAAGCAGGTATCTTACTCTGGTGAGAATCCTTCCGACGGGTGTCGAGTCAAAGAACGCCATGGGAGCTCTGAACAAGGATTCCATCAATCCGGAGAAGAAGGCCATGGAGGCCTTCAGTCCTAAATGAGTGGACAGAAGACTCCTCGTGTACATGGCGACGCCGCTCAGGGAAGATAACGCCGTGTATACACCAACCAGTGTGATATTTCCCATATTGGGAATCCGAATCGCATATGCAAGCCAGAAAGTAGAAAGTGACTGGAGAAGAACAAACCCAGACTGGAATAAGATGATCAGGACAAGGTGAAGAAACCCATTTGAAAAGGAGACGTAGTCAACGTATGGCTTCCACCCAAGGTTTCCCCCATCCTTTGTTTCGTCCTCGGTCAACTGAATCTTGGAGGCGTTTGTAATGGACGACGCATCTTCTGCTTTCTGCTGGTGCCGATCGTTTGGTTGTGCCTCGGGTCTGGTTTCCAGAATATCTGGGGATTCGTAGCGCTCCGACTCGTGGGCACTGACGAGCTGTTCGAAAGCCGTGCCCACCTCCAGAAGCTCCTCGTAACGTCCCGCCTGAGTGATTCGTCCCTCCTCCATTACCAGGATCCTGTCCACTTGCGAGAGGAACTCGATCTGGTGGGTGACGAGTACGACTGTCTTGCTCCTGAGGGCGGTCAGGACGCAGTCCTGCAACCAAGGTCGGGTCCATCAAGTCATAGGAAAAGAGTAGACAACAGCAATCAGCGTCAAAATCGGCATCAACATCTTACGTTGAAGAGGACTGCAGCGGTGTGAGCATCCACAGCGCTGAATGGATCGTCGAGGAGGAAGACATCCGCGTCACTGTAGACTGCTCTGGCAAGCTGGATCCTCTGCTTCTGCCCTCCGCTCATGTTCAGGCCCCTCTGCCCGATCTCGGTGAGGTCCCCGTGGTCAAAGCTGTCGATGTCCTTGTCCAGCGCGCAGGATCTGATGACCATCTCGTATCTCGTCTCCTCCATAGGCTTCCCGTACAGTATGTTGTCTCTGATGGTCCCGCTCTGAATCCATGAGGTTTGTGAGACGTAGGCGATGGAGCCAAAGACCTCGACCTGCGATGAAGACGACGAAGAATCTCCGTTTAAGTCACTGCAAGGAATCAGAGAAGGAGAGAGACTTCGGAGGTGAGCTCACAGATCCGGAGACTCTGTTAAGCTCCCCGAGAATCGCCTGCAACAGCGAAGATTTCCCCGCGCCGACGGGCCCACAGACTGCAAGCTTGTGGCCTCTCTGCACCTCTACATCTACATTCCTCAAGGCGGCAACCGAGACGGCGGGATCCCATCTGAACTCCCCCTTGCGTATTCTAACGCCGAGCTCCGAGCTGTAGACGGGCCTCCTCTGAACGTCCTCTTCCTTGATCTCGTCTTCCAGCAGGAATCTGTCCAGACGATCCAGCGACACCTTCATCTGGATCAGCGCGGAGATCACCTCGGGCAGCATCCGCATAGGTTCCGCCATGACCTTCAGCGTCGCCAGCACAGTGAAGATGGTTCCGGCGTTCAGCGGCGCACTGCCAGTGGCGACGCACCCGGCGAAGATCACAGCCGAGACTAGGATGGGCGACATCCAGTAGAGCACCGACCCGTAGGATTTCATGATCTGGAGGCCAGAAAGGTACTTGAATTCCACGTCCCTCAGGGCCTGGATCGTCGCCCTGAATTTCTCCTCCCACGACTGCAATTTGATGATCTTCATGTTATTGAGGGCCTCGGAGGTTGCCCGGAGTCTGTCGTCCTGGCCGGCCATGAACCGGAGCTGGTAGGTCTTCAGCGAATTGGCGAAGGGGACGTTTAGTGTTGCGCAGAGGAGCAGAGGAACAAGGCCAGGGAGAGCCCCCACGCCCACCGTGACGAGGAGGATAACGATGGCGGAGACGAGCTGAAGGGTAAGACTCCACCCATAGTGAAACCACCATGGGAACTCTCCCAGTCTGTATGCGTCCACGGCGATGTAGTTGACGATCTCACCCGTGGAGTGGTTCCTCCTCCCCACACTGGACAGCTTCAGCTGCTTCTGAAAGACAGCCGCCATGACGGAGGATCTCATTTTCATCCCGGCCCTTCTCGCGTCGAAGAACCAGTGCCTCTGCGAGAGAGACTCCGTGGCCTTGATGACCACCAGCAGACCCAGAAGAAGCAGACTGGATCTCAGATCCTCATCCCCTCTGGTACCAGAATACTCCACGAAGGCGTAGAGAATCAGCGGAGAAGCTATGGTGGAAGCAGAGAACAGTAGAGCGTAGACCCCCACGAACACCATCTCCTTCCAGTAACACCTTCCCACGGTGCAGAGTAGTAGGTTGCTGACTCTAGCTTCGTCTTCTGCGCGTAGCGCATTCCACTGGTGGGAGAATGCTTGGGAGGCAAGGACGGCGTCGTCTTCTTGGGCTAAGCCAGGTATGTCCTCGGGGAGTAATGGCTTCCGGTTCCCCGAACGTAGAAGGGGGTTCAACCAGGAGAAGGCCAATCTACTCCAGATGCCCGCCATGGATATCTCCGTTTTAGTTTCTCCTCCATCTGCGTACAGAAGAGGCTCGGACAAGCCCTGGTCGGGGATTGTTCCGGGTGGCGGATTCCTGGTGAGTCTGAAGGCACAGAGTAGCAGTAGAAAGCTCATTGCCCACTCTACAATGTCGAGGATTTCCAGTTTGCCTTCTCTGTCCACAAGGATCATCAGGTTCAGAAGAGTAAGAAGGACGGAGGAAGAAACCCACCAGGTGACGACTAGGACTCGTATCCGTGGCGTCCTCTGGACGAGCATGGAGAGGGCGACGACCATCCAAATCAGCCCCCGGATGAAATAGTTTCTCTGGGCTCCGGCATTGGAGGCAGCACACTTGAGGCCTGTGACGATGAACGCAGCACCTGTGATGGCGGAGCTGGCTGAACAGAAGAGGTAGAAGACCAGGTTCCTGGGTCTGTTTCCATAAGTGGGGCTCTTCTTCCCGAAGACGAAGCCGATCAGCAAACTGAGAGAGTAGCCGAGGAGGAAGACGGTGTGGATGGCGTCCAGGAAGCTCCGCTGGGAGCAGAGATTTCCCAAATTGAACCCTTCCGGGCAAGGCCACGGGATCTGCCCTGCAGTTCCGAAAATCAGACAGAGAAATCATCACCAATCAGACCCAATAAATGCAGAAAACGGAAGGAGGATTCATCACCTGGAAGAAGCCCGGAGAAGGCGTCAGCTGATAAGCCAGAAGGCAAACGGTACAGCCATGCCGAAGAAACCATCGTCACCCTCGCGGTCGTCGCCCCGCCGCTAGCACGAGGTTGGTGGGCTAACCTTCATAACCCTTTGGTTACTGGTGGTCTTCATCATACCCTAACTTCTTGTCCATCGTAACCCAGTTTGATCATCGAAATGGATTTAAATTGCTCTTGAGCGAGATTCGGGACACATTTTTGTGAAGAGGTTGGTTCTTATTTTTTCTGCAATTTATTTATTTGAAGCCTCTACTTGACATGCCCGCGATCCACCTGATCTACTCGTGAATGGTAGGCTGTACATGTTTCGATTGACGCACGTTGGGTGGGGGAGGCGGGGACGTGGTTTTTGTCTTCTCCGTTATTGTAAATTTTATTCGATTTTTTTCTAAACTTGTGAGATCTTGGGGTTTTCACCTTCCTACGCGCGCCAGCCGCCTTTTAGCCCTTCCATATTACCTTCTCTCCCTTGGCCCACATCCCATGTCCTTACAATTTCCCCATCCTGCCGTTGACTGTAGTTGGTAACTTGCCCCTTCCACTTGCCCACGTCCCTATGTACTGTCACCGGTACACGTGGCCTCCGGCACAGCCGTAAACTACTCACTACCAACTGGCACACGTGGCCTTTGCCGGCATCTCTGACCCGTTCGTATTGTGGCCGTTGCTTATCCACTGCCGTTCTACAGTCAATGAAGACTGCTGTGTGGAAGGACTAGAGTGATGAGGGAACAATTCTAATATATGTGCATCAGCGGAGGTAATTTTTCAAAGACTTTGAAATTGGGATATTTTCTTCCCTGTCTAATGCATATATTGAAACAATGAAGGTTCTACGGAAGGGAAATTATTATACTAGTATCATTCGACGTTTAAAATAGTTTACAGAATAAGGTATTAGATAGATTCATTCATTTTCTTTTCTACGTTTGAGATCCAAATCAATGGTCATCAAGGACATTAGCATTAATACGGGGTTATTTTAATTATTTCTGAAGTAAAGCCAAAGATACACTTTCAGCCTAGATGTTCATAATGATTGGCTGGCGTAAGTAGATTCATTCCATTTAAATAATGAAATTAGTGGGCTTACCCTTGAATTGTCTAGTACGATAATTATGAAAGAAATTCTTTCCATCAAATGAAGATGACAACTCGCTTGATGACACCAAAATATGTACTTGAAGGAGAGTAAAAAGAATATTTTATAGAACACTGATTGTGTTTCTACCTAGGGTGGGCACAAGATAGCTGAAATGGATTGTGAACCATTGAAAAGAAAGTAAGTGCTTACTGGTATCAAAAGTTTCATACAACTTTTCTATATATAATTACAAGCCAACTTCATAAAAGTTGAAAGGATATGAGTCAAGGCTAGGTTCATGGTAGTATTGACACTAAAAATTTCACTAAATTACATTATGATCATAGTTTTATTATTTATGTTTGTGACAGTAATATTATCTTTGGGTCAAACAAAAAAAGTTACACTAGATCTTCAGAAATTGTAAAGGATGGTCATCATGACCTAGATCCTACATTCCTTTGTAGTGTTTTGGTCATCATGATGTACATGCCCTCTCCAAGGACTCCATCCTTGTGTTCTACCAAATCGTTAGAGAAAAAATAGTAGATTCTAGCCTTAGCAATCTATTGGGTTTTTGACAGCTCTGACTTGATATTTCTCTAATCACCTTGTAGATTACAGTGCTCTAGGTTGCCGAAACTGGAGAAGCTTCTCACTTCCCTCTACTAGATTTCATGGCTCTATGTAGCCAAACCAGAAGAACTCACCCACTTTATCCTCTAGACTTTACGGCCTAGGTGGTCATATTGCAGAAGTTCCCAACTTCTCTCTTCATAAATTCTTAATCACGATTTAAAGAAAATAAGAAAGAAAGAGATACTCAATGGTGAATATATACTTTGGTGCTTAATCACGATTGTTGCAGCATTGAGAATCAAATTCTTATCCTTCTTTTCCTCTTTGTTGAGATGATAAGGAAACGTGGATGGAGTGGATCGTGGTCCTTTATCTTTCTTCTTCCTCCGTGCGATCTTCTTATCTTTGATTTTCAATTATTGTTCTCTTCAGTCTTGATCACATGAAGGCGGTGCAACCAGACATCTTTATCTTCTCCTTTTCCGGCTAATACTAGAGATTTCGCGTCGTTTATTCTCCTCCTTTTTCTGGCGAATATTAACGCGATTGTCCGTCATTGAGCTCCTCGTTTTTTCCGGCGATGATCAGCTTGATTTTTCGTCGTCGAGCGCCTCCTATTCGGTGCACATCCGAGAGCGTCTTTTCTCCTGAAACTCCTTAATTCGGTGCCAATCTGAAAGCCTTTTCATCTCCCGTCTGGTTTTCTTGTTCCATTCTCCTTCTGTTTCCGGCGCAAATCCGAGAGCTTTTTCATCGTCGTTCTGCTCTTGTTTCCGGCATAAATACGAGAGTCCTTTGGTCGTCGTTCTCCCCTCCCATTTCAGGGGCAAATCTGACAGTCTTTTCCTCGTTATTCTCCTCCAGTGTCTAGCACAGACCCTAGAGCTTCTTCCCATTCTTTTTCTTTTTCTTCTTAGGCTCGGCAGAGAATGATTTTTCTCCACCGATAAGTCGACGAGTCCATGTTTTCACCAGAGGAATCAATCGTTTTCTGTCGCTATTTCTGCCATACTTTCTCTGTTGGTCCCTCGATTTCCATCGTGATTTTACGTTCGTTTTCCTGTCCCGATCTTCTAACTGTTCTTCCTCGTTAGTCCCTTGCTTTGTATCAGATTTGACATTCTTTTTCCGTAGCGATAATCCGTCTATTCTCCTCGTTCGTTAATGATTCCTTTTCACAATTTCCCGTCCGTTTCCTCTGTCGTTTTTCTCTGTCACGTTAAGTCCGTCACGCGAGACAGACAGGAGACAGGAGAGAATTTAGTATAAGAGAGAGAGAGAGAAAGAGAGAGAGAGAGAAAGAGAGAGAGAGAGAGAGAGAGTTATTTCGGATATGGCTTTTAATACCCCTTAAATATATGGCCAACTATCCCAATCTTGTTAGCTCCATAAATCCAAGCCCATTACATTAAGTATGACTTTTAAATTTTAGGCCTAATAATAAGTTCATTTCTCCTCAATTATCCTCAATTTTATAAAGACAAAACGTAAACATATTTTGCACTCTTTTTTTGTAATTATAGTCAAATATAAACTCCACAATATCTTTATCCTTTTAATTATCCTACAAATACTTTGAAACATTTTATGTATTTTCATTTTCATGAAGAAAATATGTAAGTATCTTCATGTGTTATGTCTTCATCAAAACGTTTGAAATATCTAAATTATCATATTAATCCTAGGTTTAAAAAGCACTCTCACTTAGATTGGTTAAATAATTTGTCGATACATTGATTCCTTAATGATTGTCTTCTTAGGAAGAGCCTTCCCACCCACCTCAAGTGATGCAACTGAAATTTTGGCTTGATAATGATTTGATCAAGTTGATGCAATTTGAGTTACACAGTTGAAGTCTCATCTTTGAATCCACAAAAGACTTGACTTACATGAAGATTTTTCACCTTGACCCCATATTATGAAGAAACTTTGACCCTTTAGTCCACAAGGGTTTGATCTTGAGTCCACAAGGATCAAAATAGTTCTATTGAATCTACATAGGATGTGAGCTGAGTCCATAGAATCATAGAGATGGTTTCCTTGAGTCCATAGGGGAGCTAGAGTCCACCAATAGATGGAAATTACTTCATAGAAGAAGAAACTCATAAAAAATTATCGATTGAAATTGAAACATCTCTAGCTACATGAGGTGCCTTTAAATAAGTTGAAGTATTTTGATTTGGCACCTAAATTTAATTTTTAAATAAAATTTGAAAATAAAAATAGAAGGAAAATAAAAAGGAAGTAAGAATAGAAGTGGAAATGAAAATGGTAAATATCTAAACATAGAAAGAAACTAATAATAAAAGGAATATTGAAATAGAAAGAGGTAAAAATAAGAGGATAAAATAATAATAACTAAAAATAGAAAGAGGTAAAAGTTAGAAAGAATTAAAAACAGAAATATGGGCTCAATTTCGTAATTGGGCTAGCTCCAACATAAATAGGTATTCATGTTGTCTATGCTTCTACTCCGGTTGATGTTAGACCTTAAATGGGCTCCATCATCTAAGAATAGCCTGCATTGTAGTTGATGAAAAAATTAAATAGTGAGGCACTATGAAGCCTTTAAATATCTTTGTGTGGCCACATTAGTCAAAAAAAAATCATCCTTCATTTGATATCAATTCCTAAGTTACATCAACAAGTGATTGCACCTCAAACTTTAAATAACTACTTTCCTCTAATTTCTAATGACACCCTTCAACTTTACCAATGATCTGAATATTTTTAACAAGTAGCTAGATGTGTTCATATCTAAAAATTTCTCAATGTCTCTAATACCACTAGTGGTTCACTTGATTTAATAAAGCACATAATCTTTTGGGGGAGCCCATCTTATTTTTTAAAAAAAAGGAAATGTGTTTAGAAAATCATATAACCATGCTAGTTTACATTGATGTTCAGATTGTGAGATAAAAAACACATTTGAAGTATATGAATGTGTGTATATTCCATGAAAAGCCTAATACGCACATGCTCATGACTTGGATAATGTTATGGGTTATTCCTTTTAATATTCATGAGGCGTTTAATCATATTTGCATAGATTTTATAAAATATCTAATTGTTTCCTCACACTATTCTAACCAAAATGTATTTCTTAGAACACATGTTTATCATTCAATTTTATAAACTTATTGTGTGTTTACTCTCATAAGCTCGTATATCTGTATTTGATTTATGTCGTAACCCTTTATCTTGAATTATCAATTCATATTGCATCATTTGGTACATTTTCAATGGTATCAAACTCAATGTCAAACTTCTCATTTGTGTTTTCATTGAAGATAAGAGAGGCATAGAAGGAACTAAGTGTGGGGGGGATGATGAATTTTCAGAAATATAGTAAAAAATAAAATTCAGATTTATTCATGCAAGGTGAAGCTCAATTTTTATAGCAGCTTAGCACTTGTCTGCTCAACTCTCCATAAGCCAAATCCCTACTAAAAATATTACAGATGTTGAACACAGGGCATTGACTTGCCATTGCTAGATTCATGACTTTTAGAGGCACACTTATATATAGTGCTTCATTTTAGATTGATGATTTTTGGGGGCAAATAGATAAATCTCTCACTTATCTTTCCAAGATTGATAAGTATAATGGCCCAACTATATCAGTTCCATATTAATCCCTCATAAATTCTAGAACTTATCATGCACTTCATTGTAGTATTAATACTAGTTTCCAACCATATGGGAAACAAAGGTTTAAGTTTACTAGAACCAAGGTCTATAGAGTTGGCATAACACCTTAAATATATTGCTTTAAAATCAACGGTTGAGTTATTTTCCTAAATTGATAAAGTGCCTTGATACATCATATAAGTATTATAGAATTAAAGTAGATGGGTTGAGAACTATAATGAATTATTTCTTGTATGGAAAAATATTTTCCTATTTTTTCTCTAGCTTCAATGGTCGAAGAGGCAGGCATTTTAGCCATTCAATAAGGAAAATATTTAATCAATGATACTATGATGATGTGGAATTATATTTTAAGATGTTATTATTTCGTTGACGTTAAAAAATTAGTGGCTCAAATGGAAACATGTAGATGCAATATCTTAAATCATAACGTTGGTACCATTTTATTGGTCAATCCATCTATGCTCATGGATGAAAATGTTCCTCTTTATCATTCAAGGCACAATTTTTCAGCATATGCAAAACATGAAAAAGCACTGAACCATTGTGATTTTAAGATTTTAAATTTGTATAAAAAATAATGGCTATCCAATTATAATAATTTAAAAACTAGATAGTATTTTAGTGGTAAAATGTGACTTTTAAATCATGCTTCCAAATTCCTGTCAAAAGCGATATGCCATTCAGATTTAAGTTGATGCTGTTTCTATCAAATGACCCAATATTATATTTGACGGCACGTATTATTATAGTTCTAAAATCAACCTGCTATGCATTTTAAGTAACAAATAGTTATGAGCTCGTCCATTCTGGTCGTTGAAAGCTAATACAGCATGGCAGCCCCGTGCTTTCAACCCAGGTCAACCAAGCTCAACGACCTTTCTTTCCCTTTCGCCCCGACCTCTGTTTTCCATGCTGTTCTTTCATTAGCGAGAAGGAGAGAGAGAGAGGGGAAGAGCGGGGGTTATCGGCGGTGCGTTCAGCCCGGCACCGCCTTCTCTTTACATGGAGAAGGGCCAAAACGGACTGGTCCGCATGCGCCGACCTACCGAACGGGCGAACGGACAAAGCACGCGGCGAGCCCAAATGGGCTGGACGGAAACATGTTGGACATAAAAAGTCAACAGCCAAAAAACCAAAGTCAACCAGCCCTTCAGATCCCATGCTGGACTTAAAAAGTCAAAACGACGACAGAAACGGATCTTTTCTTGACCCACGTATAAACTGTCGAGCGCCACGAGCCTCCGCCGGAAGACATCCAGAATTGTTTTTCCTCCGACATAATACACAATCTAGTCTCAACTGAGCTTAGAGTCGGCGGAGAAGTCTCCTCACCGCGTCCTCTGGAGACCAGCTCCAATTTTCCGACCTCTCTCTCTCTCTCTCTCTCTATACAGCAAATAACTTTTGGTACCAGAAATAACCTTCGGGTCGTCGTTGACCCTGCGACGACACCGGGCACGATCAAGCTCTTCACCACCACTTCCGGCAAGACCGACGAGATCTCTAGTGCGAGAAGATGGGACTAAAAGCCATGCAAACCTCTAGAGCGAGAAAATTTACAGCTACGGATGAGTGAACTAAGAGGGTGATAAGAAAGTATGCTCTTACAATACAACAAATTCTTCATTATCGTTCAGAATACTAACAGCGACTCTTCTAGACCAGAAGCAGAGATTCAAAACGGAGAGAGAGAGAGAGAGAGAGAGAGAGAGAGTGGCACGAGCTACTGGGCGGCGCCCCAACAAGTTCACTGCTTACCCCCCAGGGTGGGGAAATGACCGGGGTCGTCGATTGCCGGAGCTGCAAAGGTTGGGCCAGCAGCATAGCCGCCGCCGCCGCCTCCAAAACCGCCGCCCTGGTAATCGCCGCCGCGGCCACGGCCACGGCCACGCCCGCGGCCGCGTCCCCCGGGAGTGTAGTACCTCTCTCCTTCCGCAGGTTTCAGGAACTCGTTGATGCTCAGAGACTGGAATTGGAAGCAGGAGTCAAAGGAGCCACTTTCACACGATTGGTTCAACCAAATTGTGCATCAAAGAACGAAGCAGATGTATGCATACCTTCTTGACCCGTTCGTCGCGGTCGGCATTTTCTTTCCCTTTTTTGTCCTTGTCGGAACCCTAATAAAGCGACCCGAGAGGGAGACGATTAAGAGCTGCTGCTGCTGGGTATAGAAATCATGCCTCTACCCTCATAGAGTTACCGTTCTATATCTGGGTGAAGGCCTTACCAGCTTGACGAAGACATCGTCGTTCCCCTTCTTGACGGAAAGCTGCTGCATTGAGGCCAACTCCTTGTCGATGTCGACTTTCCTCTCTTCTGCCTTCAGCGCGAGTAATGCCTTCCGCTTCTCCTCCTTTATTTTCTCGTACTCCTCCAAAGTCATTTCCTGTTGGATAGAACCAGGTAGAGAGAGACACAGAGAGAGAGAGAGAGAGAGATGCTGTCAGGAAGAGGCAAGACCCAATATAATCTGCAGCATCTGATGCCACATCGTTCTCATAGGGAGGACAGGATTAGATATTCTTGTGCTTCCGAAAACTAATTCCGGTTTAGGATGGTCAATGCGCATCACCATCGCCACTGAACGGCTCATCAGTCGGCCATTGTAAAGGACTAAAAAAAGCATGAAAATGAGAGTTTGTAGGCCTCTCAGAGACGCAAGAGATTAAGCGTTGCCCATATGAAATCCATGGTTATCTGGAGCTCTATTTTGACGATGCAAAATCGGGACGAAAAGGATAAAAACAAATCTCCAACGTTGCACAAAAATGGCGTAATTTCTACCGCAATTCTACGCCAACTACCCAGAAACAACCATACCCACCCTAAGAGTTGGATCATCATCAAAAACTGAAACTGAGAAAAATCATAAGAACTCAATATATCATAAAGAAGAATGATAACTGCGAGATGAAGCTCGTGCAAATATTCGGTCGCAATCAGCTGAATCAAGACAATTTTCATGAATAAACCTTGCCGTGAAATGGGTCATGCCCAATGCCATAGATCTTAAAATAAAGAAGTTTCAAATACTTTAGAACTTCAGGGAAACAAAAGGTGTATACTACTTTGAATCGATTTGCAGATGTCTGGCTTCCGCCGAATTTGAATGATTCGGGACTGAGACAAGGATCAGGTTAGATCTGATGGGGATCAATGATCCGAACTATTTTCGGATTGAAAAACTTCATCACTAACCGTTTAAAGTTTTCCTCTGAGTCCTAAAACTCGTCTTCAGTGTGGCGTACATTAGACCAATGACTAGTAGTTTCCTCGACATGAATTATCCGTTGGTAATTCATGTCGAAATAATGAAAGTCACGATAATCTAGTATTCAAATAACAGAAACTTAAACAGAAAGCCATCGGTAAATTATATCCCTAAAAAGGCAACCAGAAAACATAATTTTTATTGAAATATCTTCAACGTGAGAATATGGCGACGAAAAATATGAATGGTCATACAGAAACGCCAGCTAGCAGGAAAGATATCACAACTGAGGAAAGAACACTGAACATTGCACGAAAATATCATGATCAATCTCGCACTTGGGAAAAATAAGTAAAGGTTGAGGATCAATAATGAAGGAACTTGACGCCAAGCTACATATAGGTCAACACGCGTTCTCTAAAACAGTATTTCTCCAAGCTGGGGTAAACAATGTTGCATTAAATGAGATAAATTCATAAATGGAAGAAATTTATGGGAAAAGTTCCGCATAATACCAGTTACATGAATGAACATGAAAGAACAGGATAGATGCACCATGTGGAGAACGATATAATCTCTCCTTATCACAAGATTTTCATAGGACAAGAATCATGGCTATCTTTTTCTGACACCTAATTTGATAAGATGTATCGTTCAAAAACATTTCCCATCGCAATCAGAAAAACGATGACAAACCTACGGATGCAAGCAGAAAACAACATGTTAGCAGAAGTTCCGAGAAGATGGACACATTTTACCTGAATGACTCGTCACATCAAAATGGTTTTAAGTCAAACATCAATCAATGAAGACTATCCAACCACCAAAAGCATTCAGACCTCAAAAAAACTGGAGCCATATGAGATACCAAACCCATGATGGCAGAGTAAGGCAAGGCAGTAAGTGGTGTAAAGATTTCATATTCTTCACATTCTCAACTGTTCCACTCTTATTTCGCTACTCGAGAAGTAATTGTTGTCAGCAGTTCTGTCTCTTCGACACCACCACCTATCTTAGATGATGTATTTATAGAGTGCATTGTTTGATTAACAATCACTATCATATATAAGGGCACAGAACGCAGGAAACATGTGATCAACCTGACTACAAAACAGTGATCACAATTCATTAGTCCTCTATTGAATCACAATACAAGGACTGTAAACCCAGACGATGCTTGTCACAAAGCAATATAGCCCTTTTCGATATATTACGCCCAA